TGCTCATAGATTTACTAGCATCAAGCTAACAAATGTCTGAAAAGTGGTATTTTCTTAATGACAAAAAGTTCTGAACAAACTACTTCATGAGTGATTTATATTTCACAGACCTCACAGCATTTATGCTATTGATTTAATTAATACACACACACAAAAACCACTCTCAACTCTTCCACAGGGATTTACTAGATTATCAAAGGTCTGCAGTCAAGTAATAGCACTGGACTCTTTCATTTATGACAGACGAGATAACAGCACATTTCCAGATCCTGCAAAGTGTCATGGAGAATTAAAGCTGAAGAGAATCTAATCTGAAATTTTCACCCACATACTTCAAAGCTGAGAAGATCCAAACCACATGTCTTGGTTTTACTACCTGTTTGGGGCAGCATTCAGGTCCCAATCCCTGCCTGCCATTCCCAAGTTGTGCCAGCTGCTGTACAGAAAGAGAGCAAAAAGGCAGCCCCTGAGTCCTCATCATTTTGCTTCTGCAGGACCAAAGCCTGAGTTGGTTTTACTAAAGCAAAAAACAGCCTGGTCTATCTCCACATATAAATTAAAGGGGTCAAGGAGAACTAATGAAGTACATTCTGTGCTGAGATTTTACCCGATACATTTTTTTAATCATATTTACTTCAGTAGCAATTAAAAACTCTAACTGATACGAAACAGGTCTTCTGGTTATTTCTGAAAAAGGTCTGCCTACAGTCAGTGACCAAAAACTGGGGGCAGGGATGAGAGCGGAAAAATAAAATACAGTAAATGGGTAAATATAGCTCAATTCTCCTACCTTCTGTCTGCTGTTAATAAAGGTAAAGATTTTCACAGTTATCTTTGCTCTGTTAACCTCTCTCCTCATTGATCCAACCATCAAGTAATAATCTTGGGCTTATGGCATCACACAGCATTCTACCAGCAAAGTGTAATGACACAACACGGTTGAGAACAGAAAGCAAGGAGGAGGAAAGAAAAAGAAGTTACTGAGAGCTGTTACAGAATCCTTGTTTTAGGCTCTCTATACAGTGAATCCTGTAACGAAACAGGATCTGTGAAAAAGTTTCCACTGTACCAGCATTTTTCCTCAATTTATTCCTACAATAGTGGTATCTAAGAGATACTCTCAATACGTTTACTTTGTAAATCACTCGCAACTCAGGACAGAACACCTGACAGGAGTGCTGGTCCCTGTCTCCTAATACACGCAGCCTAAGTGCTCCTCCAGCCTTCCAGTAACAGAGTTGTCAGACCTAAAATCAAGCATCCTCCACCGCACCATGAAGTCAGGGCGGCAGCAAGCCCGAGGGAAGTTACACTTACAGAGCCAAGAATACCTTATCTCAAAGGATAAGGTGGAGCTTTACTTTTCCCCTCTTGCAAAATTGGTTATTAAGTAATCTGTTTATGTCACACATACCAGCACTCCTAACAGTGGCATTACAGCAATATGTCATTACCTTCAAGGAAAGGAACGTGCCGTGCTCTAAATGAATGGGAATGGTTTTCTCACACAAGGAGGTTCAGCTTAGGGCAGTGCCTCTTCCTGACTTCCCCCAAGCAAGCCTACATTTTCTCACTTGCTTTCCTTCCACACTCTGAACCGGACCCAGGCAGATCCCTCATCTCGCCGAGTCACATTTCTTGGGCGCTTCTGTGCAGCATCACTGACAGCCAGCAAAGCCACTCTTCACAACTCAAACGTACGGAATTAACCAACCGAGCCCCTTCACTGACACACACAGGAGGGGGTAAGCCGAAACAGAGTAATTTTCGAATGTCAACAGCTGATATCACCAAAAAATAGCAACACATTCCAGTGCAGGACCAGACTGAGCTGCCATGTTATAGAAGCATTAAACAATCTCTGGAAGTAGGCCAGAGGGACATACTTTTGTCAGGTATGTATGGTTTCTATTAACATTACATTTACTCAGCAAGGGCATGACCGACAATTGCCCTAAACTGAAAATATCTCAACATCCTTCTGACCAGAAATGCCTGGTTTTCCCCCTCCTTAAAAAGCAAAGTTCTCTCTCCCCTACACCACTAAATAACCCCGTTAGTGAGCAACATGGTAATTTAGAGTTGCTACCTCCATCTCACAGACCTAAGATGAGGTCACCAGCTACCAATGAAGAACACCGTGCTGTTTCTCTCTTCTTGCAAAGAATACAAAAAAGATGAATGCTCATCATGACAACTTCAAAATTCTGTCTTGGTCTGTTTTACATCACACAGACTCACAAGCAACAAAAGCAGCCTGCTTTCTAAGCATGTTATAATGTTTCACAGTACGGTTCTTCCAGTCCCTCCTGCAAACAGCCTTCCTGAGAAATTTGACCAAAATTGACTGCTAGCTGAAAAAAATTACTGGGAGAGAAACAGGGAGAAGAGGCAAAGAACTTTATGTACATATGTTGTTTCCACATGAAAACAGGCTAAAAATAAAAGCTATCAGAAACATACATCTGGAGGTAACAATTCCACTCGATGTTACCTTCTTCTACAGAGGATGCAACGACCATAAGCTTTTTAGAAAAGCAAGTTCTAACCACACCACAAGTGCAGCTGAAGACTGTTAGCACTTCAGAGCTAACACCTTCAAGTCTCTGGACAAATGCTCTCCTTGAAACCACTCCAACTGCCGTGCAGAAATCAAGCAAAGAGACTTAAAAACATCCCTGACTTTTAGCCCTTCCATTGGATATGAAACTGAAAGCAGGTAGATTTAGATTGGATACAAGGAAGAAATTCTTTACAATGAGGGTGGTGAGGCAGAGGCCCAGGTGGCCAAGAGAAGCTGTGGATGCCCCATCCCTGGAGGGGTTCAAGGCCAGGCTGGATGAGGCTTTGAGCAACCCAATCTCGCACAAGATGACCCTGCACAGGTCAGGGGGCTTGGACTAGAGGATCTTTAAAAGGTCCCTTCCAATCCAAACCATTCTGTGATTCTACAACTCATTCTATACATGCAGACTATGACTGTACATGGCATGCATGTATGCATATTAGATACACACCTACATTAAGTTTACTTGTGTAAATGCACAGCTCAGGATGCACACCATCTACTTTAAGACAAAGATCTCTTCGAAGTGTCAAAGCTTTGAACAATGACTTGCACTGTGTCAATGCCCCAAATTTGCCAGGTACGCTGTGAATTCAAGGCAGTCCCACTGCAGAAGAGTGGAGAGGCTGAGCAGCAACTCCCCCATCGAATCATACAAGCACCATAAGTGCATCGCGGTGCTGACAGATGCTACAGCATCAGCACCGGCCCTGCCACAGACAGCAGCTCCTTTTGTGATGTAGCTAGGTCACTCGCAGAAGCTTGGTGGGAATCAAGGCACTGTTTTTAGCATGAACAAGGGAATTAGCTGGTTACACAGCTCCAAGTCTCTCTGGAAGCTCAGACAAGCAGCTACCATTCTCTGAGGCCTGTTGCATGCAATTAGAAATACTTCTTTCACCTCTTCTTCCTACCCCAGCAAGATGAACTGCAACTAGTCTGTTAGCCCAAGTAAATCAAGTGAGGATATCTGCATTGAACCATGGAGATAAACACACCTACAAATATTACTTAAAACACTAACCACAACCTTTTTCACAGCACCTGCAGACAGTTAAAAAGGACACTCCTGCGCTGCTCTTCACAAGGGACAATCTGTATTACATTCCTGGAGCGTTATATACCGGCAATACACATCACAACAGCATGTGGCAACATTTAAGACAGTAAAATACAAAAAACATCCTCCCCCTCTCCCCTCTCAAATGTTTTCGCTGTGCCAAAGTTTCAATTATTCTACAAGCAAAAGGCTGATACCAAACCCCTGTCATTCCAGCCCTGCAGACAGCAAATGGCCTAATTAAACCCAACACGACGATTTACAGCTACTGAGCACAGCTTACTTCATAGAAAAGAGGAAGCAAATACAGGCTTTTTCATGGAAATGTCTGGTTTGATTTGCTGGAAGTGTTCTAATTCATCTTTTTTGGAGATGATTCTCTTTCATATGGCTTGATCCTTTACTGTCCATTACCCGTGACAATGACACAGCTGTAACCCTACACCTTTCAAAACATTTCAAACCAAAAGCCACAGGTGTTTGTTTGCAAATAAAGAAATTCAAATAAAATTATATACCACAGTTAAGAGGGGAAGGATACCACTATGAGGAGAAATGCTGGCCTCCCTTCCCTTCTAGGTAGAGTACATACCCTGTCATCCTTTCCTCCTTCTCCCCCACTAGTTTATCAAGTACATGGCGAACTAATACTCATAAAACAAGAAAAAGACTATTTGCTGCAAATAATTCATGCCTATCAGCTTAATAATTTCCCACAACCTTAAAAATCCAAACTCCTTTAAATTCCTTTTTATCTTTGTGATTTCACAATATTTTTAGTCGAAGAGAAAATAAAAACACCTGCAAAGGAATCTATTCTTTTCCTAAAAACTGAGGGAACTGTTTGCTCTGTTAAAAAGTTTCTTTCCCAAGGGAAAAACCTCCTCTTTATGCCTCCGAAGCTCAAAGGAAACCCAGGAAAACGTCCACTCGCTGACTTATGTCCACCCCAACACTCAGTACAAATTCTGCTGGTCTTTCCAGTTCAATTCTCCAGCTGCGATACCTGCCACCATATTCCAGCACTTTGAGGTGTTGTGGTGATATGCAAGTGTTACTGAAACATTCGTGCAGGAAAGAAAAACAAATAGCCCCGATATTTCACAGCCTCTATGCAAGTCACAGCAAACACAATTTTGTGGGAAGTGGAAATGTGTGCCAACACCATATAACATTCACTCTTGAAAAAGAGGATTTATTTAAATTTAAAAGGTCAGTTTCACCCTAAGTTTACCAGTGTTTCAGTCAGTATAAGGATTAATTGCTTGGCAAAACAAAGGCGTCCTGTTTCTCTGTTATCCCACTGTGCCGATCTCATATACAAATACAAATTGTGAAGATACCCTTTCTCCCCAGCAGTCCAAGGTCACTTACCTTCCACTTCTTCTTCATCACATACATGTTTAAGGAAGGAAGCCCCTCTATCCAGTACTGCCTCGTCCTCCATCCTATAGTAATAGAAAAGAAAAAAGGAATGCTCAGACTTCTCCTGGAGCGAGCTGTTTGAACCAGCCCAGGTCCTGGGCACGTTAACTTGCAAGCTGTTGTTCATGTTCCCGTGTGCACTCCTGTTCTCCTTCCAGTGCCTGCTGTTCCTTCATAGAGCTCCTTTCAAACGGCGTTTGGTTTAAGCTGGCCTCACGTAGCTCGAATTCTAACCTTGAGAGGACATCAGTGGTGACAGGTGTGAGGAAGGTAATCCCAGATAGAAGTCTTTGTGTTTATTTCCCACTTCTTCTCTCCTCTCCCCTCCTCCTTTCTCCTTTTTTCTAAAAAGGACATACACACACAGAGAGAGGCAAGTTTGGGACCTCCTATGCAATAGCCAAGAGTTTGTGAAATTCCAGTTTCCCTTTAAAGTTCTTCTAAAAGACCTCGGCTGCAGAACCACGTACACAAGCAAGCACGCATACCATACACAGACACACACACGCGTTCGAATGCACAGTGGGAGACCCGGCTTCAGCCAGCCTCCTAATACCAGCAAAGCACACTTGTCTGTTGAGAGGCAAGCTTTGTGTCACATGTTGGCCTTACAGAAATCTGACATACGAGGATTATCCAGAGACCAAGCTACAGTAAGTCAGACCATCACAGCAGTCATTTATGTGTGTCACCCATTCATTCATCCATTTGGGGACGGATTTCAGCAGCTGCCTTCTTTCCCCTCCCCTTTTAACTCCACCTCTTATCCACTCCTCTGTATAGAAGAGACTCCCAATTCCACACCTCTGCCATAAAGTCCTCCTGTGGCACTGCCCAGAACTGCTGCTGCTGTATTTCATACATAAGACCCTGCACGCTTTCCAAGGGTTTATCTGCAAATTCTCTTTTGATAAGCAAATACAGAATTGATAAAATAACAGAGAAAAAAAATCTAGCTGTATTAAATTACTTGCTTTCATATTGCTTAGAGGCTAAGCACGTATTTGCTGCTCACTGCTGGACAGACACTGTGTAAGCTTGCTCTCTTAATAGAACCAGAGACCTAGTTAGTAACCTGACCTTCTACCAATGGCAAGAAAAAGGCATATGTAGGTAATCATCAAACAACAGCACCTTTTCCTTACATTCCCTAGATGGAAGAGGGACAAACTCGGTACAGATAAAGACAAACCCTTCAAGATTTCTTCACATCCGTATTGCTTCCACTTGTGATTCCACAAGATGCAGTAGCAGAAGTTTTTTAAGGGCACATTCAATTCAGGAGATTATGAAAATCAAACAGATGAATACCAAAAAAATCAAAATGTTCTGGGCTATCTACTTAGCAACAACGTGTCAACTCCTACCCAAATTAAAAAAGTCTGTCCACAAAATAAAATACCAGAGCCCTCATTTTCTCAAAGTAGTAGCACAGCAGCCGTTCTCCCACCTTTGCCAAGTTCTCCTCTACCGCAAGCACCTTTACGAACATGCCACTGGCCTCATCCTTAGCTCAGCTCTCATGAAGGAGCCTCAAAATTTCACAGATAACAAACAACAAAGCAAATAGGCCAGAGCACCATACCCAAGAACAAAAACGAGCGTCAGCTCCTACGTTTAGGTCCAATTCAGACATTTGAAACACAGCCCACCTCTGCTTCACACAGAAGCAGAAGCTGTTTCCACCCACACTGTCCGCAAGAGACACAGAAGCCAGAAGATGTGAAGAACAAATTTCTCTCACTTAAGAAAAGTACCATTTTACAAGCAGCTGTTGCCCCGCATGAAGGGGTAGGACGTGCTTCTTGCCAACAAAACACACAAAGCCAGCACTCATGCACGCATACAGAAGCCTTCCCCGAAAGCTCAAGTTCTTCATTGAATTATCCAAGGCTATTTATGCATCTTTTCTAAGGCAACAAAAGGGAACATATTTCACGGCTGCTCTTGCCTGTTTGCAATGGTTGTGAAGGCACATCCCCATTTTTTGTTTTATTCCCCTCCCCAAGCAGTGCAGTAGCTACTTGCTATAAACACAACTGAAAACATCTGGAACAGATGGGACTGGATTTCTGGACCAAACACAAACCACACATGCTCTATTACTCCATCAACTCTTTTCTTACAGCTTACAGCTTTTCTTACAGTTTCACACACAACGTGCCCCAGCATTTGCCTTTGTTCCCTGAGCACCAGCACATTCAGACCCCTCAGCACACGTGTATGTGTGGAACCACACCTGCACAAACACCAACTTCCAGGCCAGCTTCTCCACACCAGCTTCATCAGCATCAGTCCAGGTGTGCAGCAACTGAAAAGCAACAGTCACGCGGAGGGGAAAGGAAGCAAGGAAGCCATTTCCACTGCCTGCAAAGAATACAGTACTGAAAATTCACCAGATGCCATCCTGCAGCAAAACCTGTCTCAAGTTACCTGCTACAGCAGTCCCAAATGGCAGGCAGGAAGCTGGGTACTGCCAGACCTCCCCCACGCCCCAGTGCACCCTCCTGGCATCACCCTGCCCGCAGGTGCGCCTCGCTCACTGCTGAGCATCCAAGGCAGCACCTCACCTGCAGGCAGCAGGGCCAGGCTCCACACATCCCCCTACCCTCACACTAACGGCACCTTTCCTCCTTTGGATCAGTTTATCCCATTTAACAGCTGCTCTTTCCAGCTGCAGAGGTTTGAAAAACTGCTTACAACGCATTGCAAGGCTGATGCTTTCCCCGAAATGTGCACAGAGCAGATCTGAAGAAGCTGGGGGGTTTAAAGGCCCAGGAATAGAGCTTGGGTCGCCTTGGCACGGTGCCCGTCTCTAATCCCCAGGAGTTTAGTGATTAGACTCCCAAGCACCACCTCCCTTGACTTGGTCTTTTCTGCCCTTCTCAGATTACTGCAGGATTTCACCAGGCCAAAACCTAGCAAGAAACATCCTTTATGAATTTGCACGGGAGAAATATTTCAGCCCCCTGGAATTTTACAAATAACATGAAATGGGAGTTGCAGAAATTGGGGGGGGGGGGTGGTGGAATCACACGAAACAACAGAAAAATCTTCACTTAGGTCTTCAGGGGAAAACTGGCACAGAGCCCTGTCAGCGAGGCACTGCAGCAAGAAAAGGTGTTTCCAGCATCTGATGGGGGAGAAAGACACACACTGGACAGAACTAAGTAAGGGTGGAAATGTTTTTACAGCCTCTGAATAGAAACATGCCTTAGTTTAAAGCTTGGTTTACTAGCTCCTTTGCGTGAGGTTAAAGCGTGAGACATTGAGACACTTTTTATCTAGACCCACATCCTCATTCCTGATACTGCAAAGTTTTGGAAACAAACCTTAAAAACTAATTAAAAACATTGGGTTTCTGTTTTCAGCGTCTAGATCCGAGCAAGTCATGTACTCTGACAGAACAGACTCAAATGAAAAAACATGAGCTGCTAGAGTAATTGGCCTCTCTGGGTTGATAATTAGATCGGTACCGAACATTTTTAGAAACGACAGTGTGTGTCGATAGGATTTGAACAGGAGCCGCACCAGAACACAGCACGCAGGTCAATTTCCAGCTGCAGCTCCCAGAAATACTCCACCTGACTCCTAAGAAATTATCAAGACCGATTCAATACTAACAGACCTCGCAACTGAGAGAAAAGTATGTATAAAATGGGCAAAAGTGAAGGAGATGAACTGGTGCAGAGCAGAGGAGGAGATGGAAGCAGAGCACAGCCTGAGGAACCAGCAGGACGCTCGCCCTCAGCCCCAGATCACTTCTAACTTCAGGGGTAACGGCGTTTCTGACCCTCCAGCGCCGGCAGAGCAAACCTGATTGGGGTTCTGAAGGAAGCTGCTGTGGTTCAGGACCAAATTATTTGTGATAGGCTAGGGGGGGGAAAAAAAAAAAACCAAACCAAAAACCAACCCAACAACCAAACCCACCCACAAAACCCCCCAGAAAACCCACAAACCACTTTCAACTCCTTGTCTCCTTCCCCTCGGCTACACTTATCTGACAGCCTCTGTTTTGCTCCACACACTATAACTTCTTCCTTTAGGTCTTCTCGCTACAGCACCAACACATCTTCGCGGCGGTACCGAGCCCCAAGTCCCCCCAGGTTCGCTGTCCCCGGCCGCAGCCGCCCCCCGCGGCGCTGAGGAGAGGGAGTGCTGCCCCCTGCCGGCCCGCGCTTCACGCCAGCCTCCGCCCCGCTTCCTCGGGCTGCTGAGAGAAACCCGCGGGGCCTCCCGCTGACAGGCACCAGCGCCGGAGCTTTTTATAACTGTGAGATTTATGAGGGGAGAAGAGGGGAAACTAGTGCTTGACATAAATAAAGGAGATGGGCTGATGCGGCAAGGCGAGCTGTTGCGTGGAGATACAACGCGCTCGGGTGAATAAACACACACAACAGAGCTGGGGAGCGAGAAACAGGAGTTGTGAGTTGCTGATAAGCTTTTATGATTCTGCCTGTTTCAAACGGCTTTTGCAATCAGGAAGAAACGCCAGCAAACTCTGGACTGAACACAGAAAAAGGAAAAGAAAAAAAAAAAAAGAATCAGAGCCAGGTCTGTAGCTCAAACAGTAACGCGTGGCCCGGGTGGAAGTCCCACTCACAGAGCAACCCTCCTGCGACCAGCCAGGGTGCAGAGCATGGCAGCGGCTCCAGGGAGGAGGAAGGCCTGCGAACATGGGGGTCACGGAGCAGCAACGGCAGCCAGCCGAGCCAGCAGCCCCAACAGCAGGGCTGGGGTCAGACCTGCTACTGAAACACGACAGCTCCTGCTCCACAACTCTGACGGGATGGCGCGGGGAAGCTCTCGACCTCCATGGGAAAGGCAAGTGAAAGATCTTCATGAGCATATAGATTCCACCACCCGTCTGCATCTCAGAGCCTGGCATCGTTGACCTGTCAAGGGTTTTTCCACAGAAAATTGCCATCCGTGAAGTGTGGTGGGAGCACAAGGGATGGGGATGCTGGGGGAAAGAAAGAGACAAAACCAAATAAATGGCACACCGTGCCTCGCTGGCCAAGC